ATTATGATCTTTAACCAAAAGAGGGAACCACTTTATCTCATCTGCAAGAAATTAAAATTTCCTATAATGTGCAAACATCTTCTAAAGCTGTAATTTTATGATACGTGTGAGGGGAAAAAAGACATAACATTACAAGCAAACATTTTCTTGACATTTAAGGGAATAAATGAACATAAATCCAGAAAAAAGTTTGAGAAAGTGGTCTTAATAATCCATCTTAAATCATTTAATGGCGTTTCTATCGAATATTTTAGATTTGAACACTGCACAGCTGCACTGATCCAAATCATTCAAAATCCAACTTGCACCATGCGCACACATTAAGATCAAACTGTTACACTAACTGTGTTACATCTTTGTATAAATATATATTTGATATTTGATTATATAGTCAGCACGTTGAGTGATTTATCTTTGCCCTCAATCGCTTATTTTGGGAAAAAATAATTGGCAGACATAATTAAAGGCCAGCTTAATTCTTATCTCTTAAACACAAACATTTCTATACTTTAAACTCTCGCTTATAATGATTAAAAATAGAACCAACTTGGAAGGTTTAGACACAGTTTAAGGCGCTTCATGAACAGTAACATTGACGGACAACATTTTAAGGGCATAAATATAAATTTCATCCATGCCATATTTGTGGCTCTTAGCAACATGACTTGGAGCAAAGAGCCTGGAACCTCGAGCAAATAGCTTAAGAGTGTGCAGCGGGTCAGTAGCAGCTCAGGTGATAGTAAGAGCACACTAGTCAGGATCCACACCGACTGCAGGTTTAAAGCCGTAAAATACATACAAGACAGATAAATATTCAAGGAGACCGGTCCATGGCACTGTTTTCGGGCTGTTTGTATATTGCACTTGTGTAGTAAAAAGTAATCAGTACATTGCTCAGAGTTCATCTCAGAAGCATTTCCTGAAGATGATCTGCGGTCCGTACTCCTCGTATTCTTCCTGACTGATCCATGCAGAGCTGAAGTGGGCAGGTTGGCAAGCACTGCTCCTCCCCTCCACACTGAAAGTCTCTGTCCTTCGGGCTGGTGACATGAACACTCTCCCTGTGTCAGGGGAACCAGTCCTTTGATTCCAGCCTGGAGCTGCTCAGGCAGGCCGTCCAGCAGGGTGTTCCCTCCTACAGGAGCAGATAGAAAGGAAACTCAAAACATGACCAAAGCAGTGCTACAAAAGGGCGTGTACTCACTGCTATAAACCATCATTTTCATTTTTGTATTTTGGTGTACAGTGACTTTTTATTTTTATAGTACTCTCCTCATAGCAGGTTCTCTGGTTCTTCACATGATGAACTAAATAAACAGAGTTACTGAAGGGCACCTCATGAAGCTAACGGGCAATCATTCTACCTTACCGCTTCCTATAACTGCTAAAATAAATAGCAAATTTTAAATCTTCACAGCAGGTACAACACACTACACATTCACACACTGTGCAAGGCTGCTATGTGAAGTGACCATCACAAGTATTAATCCCTTTCATAGACATTCACACGCAGAGGGAGCAACTTTGGGTTATGTGTCCTGCGAAACACATTGAACATGTGGCTGCAGGAGCTGGGGATTGAACCCCGACCTTCCAGTTGAGAATGACCGACTCTACCAACTGAGCCACAGCCGCCCAAAATCCACTTGACATGCATCCAGTCAACAGTAAGACTGCTACTTTGAGCACTGAAGTTTAATTCATGAAGTTCATAGATATAAAGGTTTTAGGATCAAATAACTTTAGACTGTGTGCTCTCTTTTGTCCAGGGCAGTACGGTCTTTAGAAATATTGATGATTTAAAATGCAGTGCCCTGACATCTGTAGTCGTAATGGGACACTTGGAATTACACACTGTATCATGTGAAAAGATGATAGAAAAAACAAGGAATCGCAGGAATCATGTTAGACGTACAGTATGGCTGAAAAAGTCTGGTTCTGTTTGAGGTTTTCTGCCAGTCATATTCGCTGGTTTGAATGGCGTCCAATCGCTGAATTGTTTCAACTTGTAAACTCATTGGAGCCGTCATTGGCTGGGAGAAGCACACCAGCTCCTCGCCCAGAAAAGTCCTGACTCAGCCAAAACATCAAAATCCAGACAGAGTCTCTGCAGACACAGTCACCACCACACATGTATGGAGGCCTAGGAGTGATGACTGAGCAACATCACTTTGGTATAAGTCTATTTTATTTTCAAATGTTCAATGAAACTTTTGCAAACACATACCACACTATTGTTGAAGGAAAGTACTTGCACTTGTTTTATTATCCACTTCAAGCTCTGGACCCTCTGGAGCTGGAGCGCACCTTTAGACTGTGTGTAACACCATAACAAACATCAGCTGTTACCTGACAGCACAATGTTTCCCAGGAAGCAGCGCCGCAGGTCGATGTCCGAGCTGAGGATTGACTTGAAGACGCTCTCGTGTATCCCGTAATGGTCCGTCAATGAGCTCGGGTTTAAAGAGAATCTCAGGGGCTGCATGAAGAGAGGGCAGATAGAGGAGGATATTTTGAGAGTTTAAGAACATAAAAAGGCAGTTACACTTTTAGGAATGTGCTCTAAAAAGAGCAGGTAGCCAGTCTGAAGGTTTGCCTTATCCTGCAGGTGCTGCATGTCTCTCTCTTTTACATTTGGTTTTATCCACCAAGACTGAAGTCAGATGAGCCCCAGACTTGTGTTCCTCTACTCATGTTAAATCGGTTCAGTCGTCGCTTCAGTTCCAATCATCTACATTCTCTGGCAGAGATTGGTGGGGTTGGATACCTGAACATTTTGGTTGCAGTTTAAGCTGTTCTCCAAAGATAAAGCTGCTGAGGTCTGTGTAGACGCAGAAACTGACCACAATTAAAACCGGATTAATCAAAAGCAGCTCTGTTTTTCATGGGTAATCTGCTATTTATTTTGGGGACAAAGTTTTAGAATTGCCTCAGTAGATTATTCCTTCCTGCAGATGCAACATAGTCTATTGTGCAATCCTTATCTGCATAGGAGCGCGATTGTTACTTTAAGTGTTTGGAAACATCACAGAAAGGCTCCCCACAGAGAAAGACCTCTTTGTTCAAGACTGAAATATTTCACTTTTGGTTAACAATTCAGACAAGAGGCAGCTTTAACATCACCCTCAAGAGTCATTATTTGACAGAAAATTCACTGACAGAAATTAGTGAAGCGGCGCTCACAGGAAAGAGGAAACAGTCAGAAAGTAATAAAGCATAATAATAAATAAAGCATGGAGAAGGGTACAGAACTTTTACATGGCCGTTTTCATTTTAAAGTTCTTCCAGACGGCGCAGTCCACAGAGCCAAAATTATTTGTAACCACTGCGAAGTTGAATTTTCTTATCACCGGAGTACTTGATAAGTACTCCAAAATATGTTGCAGCTTCACTAGTCTTCACTTTATTTAAGCGTTTAACAAAGACCCAGTACCTTCATTCACTCTGCCTACGAGTCTCTTCAGCTGCTGAATAATAACTACAGCTTTCTTGCTAACTCCGGAGCATCACAACAACAACAACTCTTCTCTGAACTCCTGCATGTCACTGTCACTCACAGACTCCACCTAGTGGTGTAGATTATGCAGCGCATTTAATTAATAACACGTCAACATCAACTGCTTGAATAATGTTGCAGTTCAGAAAAATACATTAATATTAGCAACTTTGAAGATGAATTCAAAAAGATTATAAACTAAAGAATTTTAAAATGACAAGTACAACAAAAATGTGTTTGTGGGGTCCCGATAACTAAACAATAAACATCAATGTTCTCAATTGACCTGTCACACTCTCCCCCACTTTAAAAATGGCGTCCCGACATTTTCATTATACCGCTTAGCCTAAAACCTTTCTGGGCAGTTTTTTTTTAATATAACAAACAGGATGACATTATGCCCTTGCAGTGGCAATAAGCTTTAGTTTTGTATTTATTTGCTTTGATTACATTGTTTAAGTTGAGAAGTACATTTACAATAAAAGTGCGCTATACACTACTTTTTAATTCATTATTGGATTTTGCATATAACAATGCGATTAATCGTGATTAATCACAGGAACTCATGCGATTAACGCGATTAAAACTTTGAATCGTTGCCCAGCCCTAGTTTTTAGGTACGACAGAAAGATATAAAAGCATCATTTTCTAAAGGTCTTAGCATGCACCAGATAAAATGGTTGTAAGATCACCCCACAACCAGTGGCCTAGTGGTTAGTTCGCGTGCCCCATGTACAGAGGCTACAGTCCTCAAAGCAGGAAGCCCGGGTTCAAATCTGGCCTGTGGTTCATTTGCACCCACTCTCTCTGTCCCTAATTTTTGACCCAATCCCCTGTCTCTACCCTGTCTCTCAAATAAAGGCATAAAAGCTCCATAAGTGTGGATGACTTCCTGGTGTTTCATGACGACAGTACCTGGTAATAGGAGTCCGTCTCTGGTCACCACAGTGTATCCACAGACTCCGTTATACTGCAGTGGCAGCTCATTAAAGCTGGCTGTAGTTTCAGGGAGGAGCCAATCATGTGACTTCATCTCACCTGGATCGATTCGCTCACCTACACAGCATTAGAGAAACAGCAGCATTAAGAGTCTGTTGGGTTCAGATATAGTTCAGTTCTTGAAGTCTTGTGGAATATGGACTTTACTCTGTATTTGATTTCGAGAAGTCGTTACCCTCTGCTCATCTGCCTTCACCTCTGAGGACTCCAACAGGCCGTCTAAATGAGCTTCAGAGAAGATCTTGGCCTGCGAGGCGATGAAGGGCTGCAGGTTGATGCTGATGTTATTGAGGATGTTCAGCAGCTCGGCCTCGTCCTGGAGTCCCGACCACAGCTTAGACAGAGCCTTAAACAGTGGCTGAAAGACAAAAATGAGAGAAGATGTAATAAAAGGTGCAGTGAAAAAACAAAGGAATAAAAAACAAAGCAACATTTTGTAATGGTAAACGTCTGTTTTCATGAAGGCACACTTTTTGATTTCGTCTTCAACTGATGAGAAGACATGATTGAGATTATTCCATTTTTTTAATCATAAATATTCCAGCTTCTCTCCAGGACATTTTTACAAGACTTTTTCTTGACAATCCAGCACAGCAGGTACCCACAAACTGTGATTTATACTGTAAGATGAGCATTATGTGATATTTTATTGAGTGTTTGATGCACAGAAGGTCAGAAGGTCATTCCTGCCTGTGGCCTTCAGACTTTATAACTCCTCCGTTTGACAGTCAGTTAGTCTGAAATTTACTGGACTATAAACCTGAATTTAGTTAACATGGCAACCGTGCAAATCTGTCCGCAAACTGGTCAACAATTTGTTTATATTTTGTTCATATTGCGCGTAATACAAACACTGTGCAATATCTACTCTATTAACACAGTACACACATTATATTTATATTCATATTCGTAAACATTTTTTATATCTTTTCAATTCCCTGCCCTTTGTAAATCGCTTCTTAGTATTACTCTCACTTATTGCTTATCTTAAGACTGTTATGGTAATATTTTGTAAAGCACTTTGCTATTGATGCTATACTCTACCAAATTAACTTTTCTTACTACAACTCCCCTGCACGACATTACCCCTGAGTACCTTTCAGACCTCCTCCACCCCTACAGTGTGACCCAGAACCTCCAGTCCTCAGACACTGCTCTGCTCTCCACTCCCCACACCATCGAGCAGACTTTGGGGGGCAGAGCCCTTCAGTGTGGCAGCCCCCCCCCCCCCCAACCTCTGGAACGATAAGGTATCAGAACTTACAAACACTGTTGCAGTGGGTACAGCTGCCTTTGACTTCACAGAGATGACGTTCACTTGTATCGGAGGATGGTCGAAGAGCTGCAGAGCTACGGAACCGTGTTGACCGAGCACGTGAGCAGCAGCGAGCTCTCCAACAGAGGACATACCTTACAGTCTATGTTCAGACAGTCTATGGGTCAGACAGTCTATGGTCAGACAGTCTATGGTCAGACAGTCTATAGTCAGACAGTCTATGGTCAGATAGTTTATGGATCAGACCGTACAGTCTATGGGTAAGACCTTACAGTCTATGGTCAGACAGTCTATGGGTAGGACAGTCTATGGGTCAGACAGTTTATGGTCAGACAGTCTATGGGTCAGACAGTCTATGTTCAGACAGTCTGTGTTCAGACAGTCTATGGTCAGACAGTCTATGGGTCAGACCTTACAGTCTATGGGTCAGACAGTCTATGGGTCAGACAGTCTATGGTCAGACAGTCTATGGGTTAGACAATCAATGGTCACACAGTCTATGGTCAGACAGTCTATGGTCAGACAGTCCATGGTCACACAGTCTATGGGTCAGACAGTCCATGGGTCAGACAGTCTGTGGGTCAGACAGTCTATGGTCAGACAGTTTATGGATCAGACAGTTTATGGTCAGACAGTATATGGTCAGACAGTTTATGGTCAGACAGTCTATGGTCAGAGAGTCTATGGTCAGACAGTCTATGATCAGACAGTCTATGGGTCAGACAGTCCATGGGTCAGACAGTCTATGGGTCAGACAGTCTATGGTCAGACAGTCTATGGATCAGACAGTTTATGGTCAGACAGTATATGGTCAGACAGTTTATGGTCAGACAGTCTATGGGTCAGACAGTATATGGTCAGACAGTCTATGGTCAGACAGTCTATGGTCAGACAGTCTATGATCAGACAGTCTATGGGTCAGACAGTCCATGGGTCAGACAGTCTATGGGTCAGACAGTCTATGGTCAGACAGTCTATGGATCAGACAGTTTATGGTCAGACAGTATATGGTCAGACAGTTTATGGTCAGACAGTCTATGGGTCAGACAGTATATGGTCAGACAGTCTATGGTCAGACAGTCTATGGGTCAGACTGTCTATGGTCAGACAGTCTATGGGTTAGACAATCAATGGTCACGCAGTCTATGGTCAGACAGTCTATGATCAGACATTCTATGGGTCAGACCTTACAGTCTATGGATCAGACAGTCTATGGTCAGACAGTCTATGGATCAGACAGTCTATGGTCAGACAGTCTATGCTCAGGCAGTCTATGATCAGACAGTCTATGGGTCAGACCTTACAGTCTATGGGTCAGACAGTCTATGGTCAGACAGTCTATGATCAGACAGTCTATGGATCAGACCGTACAGTCTATGGGTCAGACAGTCTATGGTCAGAAAGTCTATGGTCAGACAATCTCTCGGTCAGACCTTACAGTCTATGGGTCAGACAGTATATGGTCAGACAGTCTATGGTCAGACAGTCTATGGGTCAGACAGTCTATGGTCAGACATTCTATGGGTCAGACAGTCTATGGTCAGACAGTCTATGGGTCAGACAATCAATGGTCACACAGTCTATGGTCAAACAGTCTATGATCAGACAGTCTATGGGTCAGACCTTACAGCCTATGGGTCAGACAGTCTATGGTCACACAGTCTATGGTCAAACAGTCTATGATCAGACAGTCTATGGATCAGACCGTACAGTCTATGGGTCAGACCTTACAGTCTATGGGTCAGACAGTCTATGGTCAGACAGTCTATGGGTCAGACAGTCTATGGGTCAGACAGTCTATGGATCAGACCTTACATTCTATGGGTCAGACCTTACAGTCTATGGTCAGACAGTCTATAATCAGATAGTCTATGGGTCAGACAGTCTATGGATCAGACCTTACAGTCTATGGGTCAGACCTTACAGTCTATGGTCAGACAGTCTATGATCAGACAGTCTATGGTCAGACAGTCTATGGTCAGACTGTCTATGGATCAGACCGTACAGTCTATGGGTCAGACCTTACAGTCTATGGTCAGACAGTCTATGGTCAGACAGTCTATGGGTCAGACCTTACAGTCTATGGTCAGACAGTCTATGGGTCAGACAGTCTATGGTCAGACAGTCTATGGGTCAGACATTACAGTCTATGTTTCAGACAGTCTATGGGTCAGACAGTCTATGGTCAGACAGTCTATGGGTCAGACAGTCTATGGTCAGACAGTCTATGGGTCAGACAGTCTATGGTCAGACAGTCTATGGGTCAGACTGTCTATGGTCAGACAGTCTATGGTTAGACAATCAATGGTCACGCAGTCTATGGTCAGACAGTCTATGATCAGACATTCTATGGGTCAGACCTTACAGTCTATGGATCAGAGAGTCTATGGTCAGACAGTCTATGGATCAGACAGTCTATGGTCAGACAGTCTATGCTCAGGCAGTCTATGATCAGACAGTCTATGGGTCAGACCTTACAGTCTATGGGTCAGACAGTCTATGGTCAGACAGTCTATGATCAGACAGTCTATGGATCAGACCGTACAGTCTATGGGTCAGACAGTCTATGGTCAGAAAGTCTATGGTCAGACAATCTCTCGGTCAGACCTTACAGTCTATGGGTCAGACAGTCTATGGTCAGACAGTCTATGGGTCAGACAGTCTATGGTCAGACATTCTATGGGTCAGACAGTCTATGGTCAGACAGTCTATGGGTCAGACAATCAATGGTCACACAGTCTATGGTCAAACAGTCTATGATCAGACAGTCTATGGGTCAGACCTTACAGCCTATGGGTCAGACAGTCTATGGTCACACAGTCTATGGTCAAACAGTCTGTGATCAGACAGTCTATGGATCAGACCGTACAGTCTATGGGTCAGACCTTACAGTCTATGGGTCAGACAGTCTATGGGTCAGACAGTCTATGGGTCAGACAGTCTATGGTCAGACAGTCTATGGGTCAGACAGTCTATGGATCAGACCTTACATTCTATGGGTCAGACCTTACAGTCTATGGTCAGACAGTCTATAATCAGATAGTCTATGGGTCAGACAGTCTATGGGTCAGACCTTACAGTCTATGGTCAGACAGTCTATGATCAGACAGTCTATGGTCAGACAGTCTATGGTCAGACTGTCTATGGATCAGACCGTACAGTCTATGGGTCAGACCTTACAGTCTATGGTCAGACAGTCTATGGTCAGACAGTCTATGGGTCAGACTTTACAGTCTATGGTCAGACAGTCTATGGTCAGACAGTCTATGGTCAGACAGTCTATGGGTCAGACCTTACAGTCTATGTTTCAGACAGTCTATGGGTCAGACAGTCTATGGTCAGACAGTCTATGGATCAGACCGTACAGTCTATGGGTCAAACCTTACAGTCTATGGGTCAGACAGTCTTTGGTCAGACAGTCTATGATCAGACAGTCTATGGGTCAGACCTTACAGTCTATGGGTCAGACAGTCAATGGTCAGACAGTCTATGATCAGACAGTCTATGGATCAGACCGTACAGTCTATGGGTCAGACCTTACAGTCTATGGATCAGACCTTACAGTCTATGGTCAGACAGTCTATGGTCAGACAGTCTATGGTCAGACAGTCTATGGATCAGACCTTACAGTCTATGGGTCAGACCTTACAGTCTATGGGTCACACCTTACAGTCTATGGGTCAGACAGTCTATGGGTCAGACCTTACAGTCTATGTTTCAGACAGTCTATGGGTCAGACCTTACAAGAGACTGGAGTTTGTGTTTCAGGGATTTTCCAACATTAAAAGTGTTTGTTTGTCCCCTTCAATGATATTCATTAATCTTCCTGTTTTATTGTTATCTTTAATTCATTTGTTGTTTGGACCATAAAATATCATGACATTTACCAGCGTTTACTTTATAAAGTGATGATAAAAAACAGAAACAATGCAAGTGATAGAGAGCAGACATCAGAACCATGGACAGAGTCAGAATAGAAATAAAATGTGAGACACAAATACATATTAGAAATAATCTGAAGAAATGTATTAAAACAGAGATGATTCTTTTTTCAAATGTATTGTAATTTTCATTGTGATTATTTTTCAAATGATTTGTTTCTGTGGGAGGAATCCAATTGCTGCTTCGTTCTGCAGCCTCTGACAGCAACTTGATGGCTCATCGGAGGCCTGTCCACGGACTCCCATCTCTTTCAGTAGCCTGGTGGAAGATGTTGCAACAAAGCCTCTGCAGCCAATCTCCACAGGGAGTACTTGCGTTCTCCAGCCCTGTTGTACTGCCTCGTCTGCCAGATCTGAATATTTCAGCCTCTTGCGTTCATATGCTTCCCCAACTACAGCCTCCCATGGCACAGTTAGTTCCACAATATATAGGGACTTTAGGCTGACCACATAATCAAATCCGGCCTGAGATTGGTTGCAACAATTTCTGGTGGAAAAACAAGCTTCAGGTCAAGATCGACTTGCATTTTCCAATCCCTGGATGCATCCAATTGGCATGCTTCCCTTCTCACAGTTGGATTCCTTCGGTCTTGTCCTGCTGGTGCGAAGGTAGTAGTGTAATTGAAGCCAGTGGTTGGGGGAGAGAGTGTATTGGTGGTAGCCCTTCTCCCTTCTAGGATTAGAGCCAGTTGCCGGAGGACCTGTGTTGCCTCCAGGTATACCGTCCTTGGGTGAGGCTTGTTCTGCAGCCAGTGAGGATATGTCTTAGGGTTGCTGGTGTTTGGCAGAGTGGACATGCTGGGTCTTCTCCAACCAACTGGCTTAGATTCTTAGGAGTGGGAAGGAGATCATAGGTGGCTCTAATGATGAAACTAAGTCTGCTTCCTTCCATCTCCCAAACATCCCTCCATGTGATTTTTCGATTCTCCAGATTTTCCCATCTTGTCCATTGGCCCTGTGAGACGGCCATTGCACATCTTTTTGCC